GATTAATTTTTTTCATAACAGAATAGTGGTTAATACACTGTGTTCAATGATCACAGGGATTTCTGTATGAGCTATATGCCCATGCACTTTAAAACTTTTTTTTTTAATTTTTGAGATAATCTCTAAATAATTTACTCAGCTCTCCAAGTTGGGTTTAAACTTGTGGTCCTCCTTCCTTACTCTCCCTGAGTGCTGGGAGTATAGGTATAGGATATCTTCCTTTGGTAATTCACAATAATTATGAATGTTTGTGGGGTAACATGTGCTTTTGATCTATGTCTCCTTTGTAGAAAGAATCAATCCAGGTAATGTGTCTACCACGTGTCTACCACATTACTCACCTACAAATACTTTCACAGTGACTACAACTGCAAATCCCATTGTTTAGCAGTTTTGAAAGCTATCCTTCTTATTAACTGTGGTCACCATGCAGTTTAGTTATCATTGAAAATTTCTTCTTCATTGTTAGTGAGACTTTGTATTCATGGATGAAAATCCTGCTTTCCCCATCCCTCATGGAACTGATCATTCTTGAAAATCAAAGTGCCCAAGAAAGATGTGGAGGCTCAAGCTGCTTGGGGCACACTACTCTCCAGAAAGACCAGGTGATGGTGTTCTGCAGCCCTTCATCTTGCTCCCAATTTTTTTCCTTAACTCAATTCTGGGAATTGAATGCAAGCCCGTGCACTGAACTACAGTAAATTCTGTTTTCAAATTTCTTTTTTATTTTGAGTCGGGGTTTGCATAAGTAAGTACACTGCTGAGACACCAATCTTGGCCATAGATTCTTACATGTCTGTGTGTGAACACACATTGATGTCAGAGACATTTCATTTTCAAAACCAAGATCTTCCATGCACACAACCTTCTCTCATCAGTGTATTACTTCGTGATCAGATTCCTTTTCCTCTTCCCTTGTGGGCAGAGAGAGAGACTGAGCTCAGCATCCCTGCAGCTTTCCCTGGTTCTTGTGACCCACTGTAATCCCTTGAACTCTCTATGTGGAGTGTAGCAAGGCTCCCAGTTTCCTCCTGCTTCAATCAGTGCTGTGAACCACAGTCTTAAACACAAAGCTTGAAAAGTTATGCGGATCTCTGTGTGGGATAAATCTCTATTGTGAGCATTGCAAGGTCTGGGGACACCTGTGTAGAGCTGTGATGGGAGCTACTGGACAGGGCTCTTCTCTGCACACCATGTTCTCCCTAGTGATGTTCAGCATTTGCCTTAAAACCTGCCAATCAGATGGGGACACAGCACATGTCAGGGATGTGTGCTTGCATGAATCAGCTTTGGGAAGCTCAGCATTTTCTACATTTGTTTACATGTGGTGATTCTCTTTTGAATTACAAGAATTTTTCATCTCTCACAGAATGGACTCATTACACCTCTTTGTCACTTCTAATACAAACTATTTATCTGCCTGCTGCTTGTAAGCCAAGATTTCTTATTGTGGATTCTACATTATTCCTGGTTCTGTTTTTCAAATGTAAAGAATCAGATCTTTCTCTCTCCCTTGTACCACTGAGATCATGGGAAAACTTTTCCAAGATGAAAAAATGAGTAGATAAACAATAGTCTTCACATTTTATCTGTACACTTTGGTCTATCTGGGATTTTCTCTTCTATTGAAGAGCAATAGCAGCCAGTCTCCTCTAGGAATATTTGACCAAACATAATCTGATGTATGAATATTAAAGACCCACAGTACTAAATTAGAGGGCAAAAATGTGAGAGTGGGTGGGAAGTGGCAAGAGAGAACAAGGATATGGAAGTTCCCAAACTGAGCAGAGTGCTGGAACTCAATGGATGTGGAAATTGTACATATTAGTGATGTGATGATGTGCTACTGAATTGAATATGTTGAAATGCATGATATCTTAACTTTTAATTAAAATTACCTTGGAATTTGATGTTGAGAATTATTATAGACATAGGAGTAAACATCAAAACTGAAAGAAATACAAGGGAAGGGGTTTCAAGGGATGGGAAGGGAAAAGCAGGTGCTTTGCAGGACTTGCCCCTAAGTAGAGTTCAAGATACCTGTCATGGTGCGGTAAAAGTGCCAGTTATGGAATTCCTTAACAGGGTGCCTGACCTTAGTTTTCACTTTGATCCTAGAGCTAGTGAAGTCACTGGAGGTGCAGATGACCAAAGCTCTGCAATTTGGACTTGAGGTTAGTCAGGTACCAGCCCTCCATCAGCAGAAGGACAACAATCACCAACTGTCCTTGCTCCTTGCAGGCCCCAGAACTTTGCAATGCCTGTCACAGACAACTCTGTGCACAAATCCACCCCAGTAAAGTTTCTCATTCAGCTTTGACCAACTCATTTCTGCATGCCTCGGGGTTGCAGGATGTCCCAATACTGGCAGTCTTTTTCCTTGTCAAGTGTTCCATGCACTCCCCAAAGGCTCACAGGCCAAAGCCAAAGTCTTCTGAAGACAGTGCTTATTTTCAGTGAGCTCAGGATTGTCCAATTCAGCTGGGACATCTTGTAGAATTTGAAACCAGCCTCATGCTCCAATTGCAGAGAGTTCAGCCCAGCCTTATCTCTGCCTTGAATGGGACAGTGCTGGTCCAAGAAGCCTTTCCCTGCTGATCGTAGTCCCTAAAAGTGCTGCGACCACCTGTCCTCCATTCTTTAGGAAAGCATGAAATCCATCTTCCTTTCCCACCCTCGTGGTGTTGTCTCTGTGAGAAAGAGAATAGTGTCTGCACTGTTACTCTACTTGTGCTTACTCTACAGGGTTGGTGCACTGTAAATATCTGTGAAGTGAGTGATCAGAGGGAGTGTTTTCTCCCTGCTATTCGTTCCTCTTCACTTCGTATCGGGATGCATCCTTCCATTCTGTGTGCCTTCTGGGGACACCCATCCCCCTATTATGTGCTCACATATACAGAGGCCAGGAAGTTAGGCAAATTCACAGTAATGTGGGTAGAACCTGATCTGTTCTTTAGAGGGACTTGTGTCCTGGATAACATGGAATCACAAGAGAACAGTGGCTACATTTGGACTGGTCATTGCATCATGGTCACAGTCTAGTAAATTGCTGGTTAAAGGCACACACCAGCTCCTTTTATGATGTCCGTGTGAACCTGTGTCCTATGTTATCACCCAGAGATTCCTGCTGTGGATACCTTGGAAGCCCATGGAACGACTCTACGCTGTCCTTCACAATGAAGAGAAAAGCTTCATCTAAGTGACAGATCCATGGTAGAAGGCAAGGCTTCACCAAGGCTAAGAAAATCCAGAAGTGCTGACAGGGTCACAGCTCTGAGGAGAAAGATCTGAGTTTAGACCCAAATCCTCCTCCTGTCTTCCTACATAAACCTAGACAAGACACCCTCCCTCAGGTCTTTCACAGAGTGTCCCCATGCACTATAGAGGTCATCCTGGCATCTACTTCCTAGGGACATTATCACCATTCTTAGATGACAATTGTAATGCCTGTTAGCTGGTGTCTTGTGTACATAGTATACAGAATTAGAGGTTAAATCCAGGAGTGGGTGCAATGAACGTGGAATACAGTGATGCCTGGTGGTAGAAATGACAGTGACCTCCTGGACATATTCCCTGGTGGCATTGTGAGGGGACAGACGTTCTTCAATTCAATCATCTTTATGTTCCCTAAGCTTCACAATCTCTGCTATGTACTGGTGCTATGGCCTTGAGTCAGGAACTCACACAGGCTATGCATACACTATGGATGGAGTTGCACCCCAAATCTTCTGGCATTGCTTCTACTCTCACACCTTTGTAAATTAGCACTCCCTTGACCTGACTCCTACTCAATAGGTGACAGCTGACCTTCTGGTGCAAAAAGTTGAGTAGCCCATTCTCTACATTATGGGCCTCACTTAGTGGATTATTTTTATTATTACTATCATTAGTGTTGTTATTTTGCATTAACAGTGCTGAAATTGAGCCCAGGGCCTCATGCATGGTAAGCAAGTACACTATGCTGAGCTCTCTCCCCAGCTCCTGACTCACTGTTAAATAACTGACAATGGCAGACATCATGTGATGCAAATACTAAGGTTCACGCATTAAAATAACTGTTATACATGTTGTTATTTCCCTCTTATGTTCTCTCTTATATTTTAGTATTTATTTTTCTCCCTCTCTGGATCCCTGGCTGTGGGGAAGTCACTGCTGTCTCTGAATCTTGCAAGAGGAGAGGCTGATGAGCTTTGAGTGAGAAAAGGTAAAACAGTCCAAAAGGAATCAGGCTTTTGCCTTGGGTCCTGCCTGTAACAAGGGACAGACCCTGAGAGCAAATTTTGCCCTAGTGCCATCTCTCCTGAGCCTTTCTTCACAGAGATATGATGGTAGCAGACCCAGTGAAACCTACTGGATTCCTGATACACAGCAAATCTGAGAGAACAGAGTATATCTCTTATATGATCTGACCTGCCTTCTATCACATGTGTCTTGTCATATTTTGAAAATGTATGTAATGAGTGGACAGAATTTGACCTCTCAGCCTTCTTTCACCATTCATAATCATTAATGATTATGTACAGTGAGATTACTGTACAGTGTTTTGCTATGGATTTTCTTTAGTAGGTTCTCACTTCATGGTTTGCTGTGGTTTGTTTATTCATTCAAATGTTATTGGATATTCACATTGCAATTTTCAGTTGTTGGAAACAAAGTTGAAGTGAATATCTTATAAAATTCTCTTCCTGACGTAGAGGATTGTACGCACAGAATCCTAAGATAGTCAGATGATTTAACCTGAAATTAACTGCCAAAATGGTATCTGAAGTGAATGTACCACAAGCAAGACAGAAGAAATTTCCCTCGTGCACTTCCTCACCAATACCAATGTGTTTTGAACAAAAATGAAAGTCTCCTTTGTGCTCTTCAAAACATCAACAGGGTTTCTCTTGTGGGATGAATATTCACTTACCTGATAATTGACAATGATAGGAGGCATGTAGAAACTGGAAAGTGTTCATGTGATGGCCAAGGGCATGTTGAAGGCCTTAGAAGTGATAGAATTGTGAGTCTGCTGGGGGACTTGGAATCACAGATGGCTCCTGTGGAAGTCACACTGCATGACCCAGGGAGTATTGACTTCTCCTGAAGTTAAGGCCCCATGACTAGGACAGTTCTTGTGAGAGTTGACTGGTATTGTGTGACAGGCCTATGACTTGACAGAAGATGGCAGTAGAGGAGCCCCTAGCCCAAGCAGAAGGACTCAGGGGACTGTTTCTCTCTACTCATAATACATGTGTACAATCTAAGCAGCTTTGGAATATGGGAGCGGCTGAAAGAGCTAAAGCAAAATGTCAGTGAAACAGTCCCACCATGGATGTTATACCTATTGGAAAATGACAATAAGAAAAGGCAAAATGCAATCTCAAACATCTACTCCATCAGGAGCAAGACCAACAGACATTGAAATAGAGGACTTTAAAAGGCATAAATCAGAAACTTCAAAAGATAGCAAATGAAGTAAAGAAACAGATCCATGAAGCTATAGAGGACATCAAACTAGAAATAATGTCTCATGTAAAGAAATAACAGATGTAACAACTGTAGGAAACATGTTTCTCAACATAGCTAGAGAAGAAACAGATAAAACAAAAAATACAGGAGCATGGTAAATTGAAACTATGAGTGAACAACTTAGAAAACAAGCAGAATCTATGAAACATATGCAAAGAGATATTCAAGCAATTAAAAAAATTGAAAGCTGGCAAAACCATTTAAATGATGCGGAGGATAGAATTTCATAATTTGAGGACAGTATTGCAGGGAGTGATCATGAAAGTGTAGAACATATAAAAATAGCAAAGCATCATGAAATGACAATCCAACAGCTTCAACATGATGCCAAGAGAAGCAATGTAAGACTAATAGACATCAGTGAAGATGCAGGAGTCAATGCAAATGACATAACTAGGCTATTCACATAAAAATAACAGAAAAATTTCCAAACATGAAGAAAATTCTGATATACAAAAAAGTGAGACACACAAAGTGCAAAACAGTCACAACAAACATAAGTCTATGGTCAAACATATAATAATTAAGATCCCAGACATACAGCTTAAAAAGAGAATACTAAAACTGTTAAAGAAAAGACACAACTCACCTGTCCAGGAAAGACTATGATTACTATTAAGGCAATATTTCAGCACAAACCGTCAGGTTAAGATGAGCTTGGAGTGAACAATTTCAAGCCCTAACAGAAAACAACTTTTAACCTAGACTGATGTACCAAGAAAAAGTGTCTTTCAAATTTAATGGAGAAACAAGATACTTCAATGACAAAGAACAACTGAAGAAATTAATGTCCACCAAACCAACCCTAGAAGGCTTACTGAAAGACATGATAGATAGAGATAAAAAGGACCACAATCTCCAGAACAACAGAAAGAAATGACCAGGCTGGGCAAGAAATTGAACAAGGGAGAAAAGCAGGAAATCAACAACAGGAATACAACCTGGCAATGTCAAGCCAGTACATATCAGTGATATCCATAAAGGTAGATGGGCATAACTCACCTATAAAAAGAAACAGGTTGACAGAATTGATCAAGAAACAGGACCCCACAATATGCTGTATACAACAAACACATCCTACTCAAAATTCATAGATTAAAAGACAAAGGATGGAAAACAGTTTTCCATGAAACAGAAACCCAGAAAAAACAGGGTAGCTATTGTGTTTGTGGAACATGTGAACTTTAAACCTAAAATGTTTAAAGGAGATAAAGAAGGCAACTACATATGTGTAAGTGAGATACTGCAAAAGGAAGAATTACAAATATATATGCACCAAATACAGGAGCACCCAACTATATAAGGCAAATACTAATGCACATGAAAAACCAAACACAAGTACATAATTGCAATAGGAGACTTTAACACCCCACTGTTACAGATAGACCAACAAGACAAAAAGTCAGCAAAGAAATAACAGCACTGAATAATACCTGTGAGTAAACGGACTTGAAGGATATTTACAGAGTGTTCCACCAAACCACATCATAAGTTATATTGGAATACACATTCTTCTTAGCTCTACATCGGACCTTCTCCAAAATAGATCATATATTAACCAATACAACATGCTTAACTAAATGCAAAAGGAACACAATTATCCCATGCATAATATCAGACCATATCTCAATAAAATTGGAAATCAATGGCAAAAAAGTGCAAAGCCTTCAAATACATGAAAATTAAATAACAACTTTCTGAATAACCAGTGTGTTACAGATGAAATTAAAGGGCAAACAAAACAATACTTAGAATACAATGAAAACACAAATACAACATACTGTAACCTATGGAATGCAGCGAAAGCAGTCCTCAGCCTTTGAACCTCCATTGGGCAGGCAGGGCAAGAAAGTAGAGGAAGACAAGGGGCTTTCTCTGCCAAGACAGAAAATATAGAAGGAAAAGGGGCCCATCCAGCTGTAAGTGTTACACCCACTTCTGAGCCTGTATCCTGAGGCCAGAGAGGAGACAGCTGTTTTGATCACTTTGCTAGAAATCAGGAGTCGAAACAGAGCTACAAAGGCTGGACTTGGGAGCCCAACTGAGGGATCCTCTAGAAGATTTGCCTGCATTTTGTTTTCACTTCCTGTTCCATGACTTAGTCGTCACCAGCTGTGGCAGTGTGAATTCACGTGTCTTTCCAAGTGAGCTGCTTCTGGGGATCTTGTGTAGGCAGCACACAGTGAGATCTCTATGTGTCTCTGTTAGGTTTTGCACAGAGCAAAGTATAAAAGTGCAGTTCCCACGATAGTAAGATTGGCCCCAAAGTTCCATTAGTGAGGTCTTAGTTTGAAGACAGCTGATGCTTTGATTGTCAAGTTTGCATGTGCATGAAGGACTCAGTGCTGGCCAGGTAGATTGTGTCCTTCCTGTACGAGGTTTTTCATCAGTTGTGCTTTTATACACACATATCAGAAGTGGATTTCTTGTTTGTGTTTTGCTTATAAATTATCATATTTTTATTACTACTTATTTACAGTGTGTACTGATTATGTTTTTTATTAGGTCCATGGCACATGTGATGCATAGAATGGAAAATAGGCCCTACCCTGTGCACAGTGGTGCCGTCCATCAATTCATGACTGTTCTCAATGTGGCAGCCATTGAGAACCTAGTTCAGGGTCAAGCCATTGCCAGCACAAAGCACTACTTTGTCTGGATTCTTCTTTCTTTATGATCATTGCAGTGGGTATGATGCAATATTTGGAAGCTTAGTCCAGCCCTAACCCTAACTCTAACCTGAACCCCAAATCTAACTAATCCTAAAAAGTCACTACCAGCATTCTCTGGGGAAAGAAAACTTGATGGCATTGATGTGGGAAATGTAACATAAGTTAATTATAAGGACATAAGATCACTGGTGGCTGGGGTGGAGCAGCAAAGGAAAGTAAAAAAAAAAGCATTGTGTAAAAATTTGAAGAGCATTCTGGAATTGGACAGTGGGGAAATCCTCACAACATTGAGAATACACTGAATGCCAGAAAGCTGATTACTTTAAACTTCATTAAAATGTTACATTTTATTTATTTTGTTCTGTCACTAACAAATCTGAGAAATAAGAGTAGTGATGAATACAATGATAAATACAACTGGAAGAGAGGGGAATGGCAGGGGTGGGTCAAGAGCTGCCCACAGGTAGAACTCAAGAGATGACTCCTGCTGTGGAGCACCCAGGAGGTCCAGCTCTGCAGCTGATGGACAAGGGAATCCAGTTGCTGGCTCTTGCTGTGGGGCCAGAGCTGGTGAGGGAGCTGCAGGTGGAGCTGGCACAAGGTCAGGAGGTGCAACTTATGCATGAACTGAAACTGGACCTGTAATTTCAGGAACAGAAAATATCACCAACTGTCCATGGATTTCTTGGGGCAAACCCTTCCCACTGCCTGTCAGAGGCAGCTGTGTGCACCAGCTGAGCCCTAGCAAAGCCTCCCAGACTACATCCCCACATTGACTGCTGAGGATCTCATGCTGGGTCACAAAGCATTTGGGCACTTTGCTGAGTTCCAATGCATATCCCCTGCCCACAAGTCATAAACTCTGGAGCTCAGGCCTGGGAGGTTCAGGGTGCTCTACCTGTTCCTGAAGAAGCTTAGCCTTGGGATCTACATGGAAGTACAGTTCAAATGAAGACTCAAGCATAGAAGATGTGGATCTGGGGCAGAAGGGAGCCAGCTGAGTGAGAGGCCTGATATACCTGGGGAACTCATCTGTTGGAGGGCTGTAGGCTTTTTGCCCAGTCTGTACAGCATCCAGCCACAGCCTCTCCCACCTACAGTGGGGCACTTTGGGCCCAAGGAGCCATTAGAGGCTGAAGAAGTCTCTGTGAGAGGGAGACCTTGCATAGTTGTATCACACTTGTACTTTCTGACAACTCTCCTTGCCCCTCCCCATTGCAGTAAGCTTGGTGAAGGCAGTGACTGCTATATGCCATTTCATTGCACTCAATGGATCAGGGCTGCTGCTCCACGAATATTTGAGAAGTGAGAGGTCAGTTGGTATCTGCCTTGCCTCTCTGCTGTCTCTAGCTTAGGCAGTGATCCATTGCTTACCCACTTATGCATTGTCTGTACCCACACTGAGCGAGGCCTGGGGTCTAGAAAAAAGGCTTTTAGGTGAGCAATATCTGTTCTGCTGCAAATGGTGACTCTGTGGCCTCCAAAGAACATTGTAACTCAAAAGGGCAGGCGTTGCATCTGCTCTGCTTACAAGGTCACAGCCAATACCCAGAAATGTGTCTGCACACAGTGTGTCTTTATGTGTATTTGTAGCATAATTAAACCTATTTGTTCTTCCATGATATCTGACAGTCATGGATTCTTTGCTGTACTCAGGGTTTCCTGTGTTGAACAAACCCTGAGACCCATATAGTGACACTCCAATCTCCTTTCCAAAGAATAGAAAACTTCTCCCAAGTATTGGTCAGTAAAGGGGATGGAAGATCATTCATGGGAATCAGCACAGCCTCTACTGTAGGTCTTCATGGGGCCACGCCACAGCTAACCACTTTGCATGGAACCCCCATTTCATCCCCAGTGACCCTGAGGTCTCAATGCACTCAGCACTTCATCGTTCAGCATTGTAAACTGGGGTTGAGTGATCAACTTGCACATGGCCAGAACTTGAATCTGCAGGTGGCCAAGTCTCGCTGGGCTGCTAAGGTAAGAACTCACATTCTCAGCTTTGGTGCCTACAGGTCTGAGATGTCAGCCATGGAGGAAGCCAGAGAGGAATGGCTGGACCTGGGGCAGCTGTCCAGGAAGGCTAAGTCTAGAGTCTCCTTCAGGCTGTGAGGTCCATCTGCCTGCACCTGGCTTGCTATACAGACATCTGCCAGGCTCCCTGCTCATTGACTTCCAATCTGTGATGAGACAGTGGGGAGACATGGAATTGGTGTTGTGCACATGACTTCTCAGAAGGGTTGGAGATGAAGCAAAGCCCACACTCTAAATTGTCCACAGAGGCTTGTGCTACAGGACTCACTAAGGAATACTACCATGCTCACATCACCTTGATAAGAGGAGAGGCAGAAAAGAAGTCTATGCATTAACAAAACCTATGAGTTTTAAGACGGCCTCCAGTTTTACAGATGAGAAAATGGAGGATCATTCTAGATGTCCAGATCCATTAATGAGGCCCCAAAGAATGTTCCCCAGTTTCCTAATAGAATGCCCACAGGAAGGAATTAAGCTACTCTTCCATAGCCATGGAAGGTGAGCAGCTGTGTTAACTGTTCTTTTCTTGTGCTCATTTAGCCCTGAGGCTCCTATGAAAGGAAATGCGGTGCCTGAAAATTCTTGTAAGACAAGCACCAGAGAAATGGACAGAGTGGACTGACATTTGAGGTGAGCACATCTGTGGTGAGTTGATGATGTGTAAGAGCTGGGGATAGGGTGGAGAGGCAGCCAGCTAATGATCCATGGACACCAGGCCTAGGGCTGAAAATGAGATACAAGTGCAGAATGCAATCATGCCAAGAAATGAAGTGACTTTGTGTTTGTGTCGCATTTCCCCTTCTCCACCAATGTGTGTACAATGACCTTACCTGTGACAAGGTAGATGCTGAGTAGAGAGCATATGGTATTTGAACACTTGGAGTCTAGATTGCTTGAGAGCAGGACCACAGGCGCAGTGTTTGACAAGTCCTGGATGGATGTGCTTAAACGGTTAATCTGACGCTAAATTCCCCTCAGTACTCTATGGGCCGCTATACAGTCCCTTCTGCTGACACACCCTGCACCAGAGCATATATCTGTTGTTATTCTGGGTACCATGTCTAGAGCAGGGACATGCCACACAGGGTCCAGGGGCCAGCTCCATGCCCCTGTCCTTTGTACAGCTCTGTTGGGCCAGAGCCCCAAAGCCTGGAGAAAGCCTGAGGCTCTGAGAAACCACAGGATTTACTTTGTTAAACAACATAAACTTATGTTCCTCAAAGACAAAAAGCACTATCCCAGACTTCTACCCAGAAGGACAGGAGATGACTCTGGAGGCTATGGATAAACATGGCCGCTGCCCTTCTCCTCCTGCCAGCCCTGTCCTAGATGGGAATGTGAACATGACAGTGGCCCAGGCTCAGTTTCCCTGTTCCTGCCCAGGAGCATCTGCCCTCAGTGCCTGTCCTCAGACCCCCTCACACTGATGACCTAGGGAGGGAATTGTTTATGCAGACTTACAGTGTTGGCCAGGCCTAAATATCCTTGTCCTTGAGTCTGTGTCTCTGAGTGGCTGGTGGCAGAGCCTAGGGACATCTGACCTAGGCTCCCTCTTCTGTCTGGGTGCCTGGGGACTGGGCCTGGTGAATCCTGTCCTGTGCTGCCTTTGATGGTTGGGCAGTTCCCGGTGAGCATCCTGAAGTATCTTGGCTGAATGAACCATCCTGTCACTTGTTCCCAGGTAGTTTTCCCATGGCGAGTCCTGAGGCTGGGGTTTTGAGGCCTGTGAAAGCAGCATAACATATTGACTTATCACTCTCTCTAGCCAAGTGCCTGTGAAGGCCAACTGTCACCACACCAAGGTGCTTGGTGACCAGATCCTTCAGAGTTCTTTTTAGATCTGTTGCCAAGCAAATGAGGTCATACGCTAGGGTCCATAGCTGGGCTGCCATCTCTAATGCCCAATTTATTTTTATAAATCTGTTCTCCATAGAAAGAGCAGGTGAAAAACTGGAAAACTGAGTGTGGTTTTACACTTTGCTACACTTTGAAAATTTAAATGCAGCAAACATGTAGATGCTTCAGATGTGGCAGGCATGGTGCTAAGCACATAATTCCATCCAAAGGGTCCCTTGTCTCTGAAGATGAGGTGTTTAGTGTCTTCACTTAGAGATATGTCATATTTTCAGGTGACTTCCTTTCCTGGGCATATGGTAGTTTCATTTCAATTCCATTAGGGAGCATGAAGATGTTCTCAGATTGCCCATAATATTTTTCCTTGAAGGATGTGAATGTTTCATATTAAAACTTCCACATGTCTGGGGGAGGAGGATTCCTAGCAAGTCTTCCTCTCATTTGCCTATGAATGATTACTTATGAGTCCTTGGATGTTTACCTCAGCCACACACTGTAGTGCTCCATACTCTGACAGCCTGTGAGGGGGGACAGCAGGTGGTGAGAGCAAGGGAAGGCTTTGCAAGGCCATGAACATCATTGCCTCGTGTGGATGAAGGACACATGCGTGTCACTCCTGGGGAACTTGTCTGCTAGCAGCTGCTATCACTTCCTGTCCTCCCATCCCAAACAGACCATGAGCTTTGTGTCCCTCCTGGGTAGTTTGCCTTTCCTGTAGGTGATGGTGCTGAGCCTCTTTAGTGGCAATGCTCTTTGCTTGGTAAACTTCAAGCAGTGTCTCTGTGCTGGGCTACTCCTATGCTGTCACCACCTGCTATTATGGGGCTGAACCAAACAACTGCAACTTGTTCATGCATGTGTTATCTATGTGCTGATGGGGATTTGTTCTGTTTATTGCTTGATTTTTGAAAGCAGGGTACCACAGCCATTTTTATTCATGTTCTTGTGTGTATATACACTTTTATTTCAAAGAAAAGTGCTTGAATGTGAAATTACTGGATCAAATTTCTGTTGTATGGCTACCTTAATAATTCTTAAAGTATCTTTGGAAGCAGTTGATTCAAGCAGAGTTAAATGGTTGGTTTTTGTTTTGTTTTGTTTTATTATGCTATACTATGCCATGCTATGTTATGTTCCACTATGTTATGTGTTGGTTAGGATTTTGAAACTCCTTCAGCATGTTTTCAGCGCTTTCTGATTTGACTTTGAATAATCAACCGGAGAAAATATAAGAATATAATAAAATTGACTAATTTTGCTTTGGAGAAAATTTAAAAAGGAAAACCCAGTCAGGGATGTTGGTGCACACCTGTCATTCCAGTACTCAGAAGGTTGAGACAGGGGGATTGTAGTGAGTTCGTGGTCATCCTGGGCTACAAGATAAGATTAAGACCAGCCTGAACTGCATAGCAAAACCCTTTCTAAAAACAAAATGAAAGAAAGAAAGAAAGAAAGAAAGAAAGAAAGAAAGAAAAAGTAATATAAAAATGAAAAGTTGAAAGTCACCTGTCAATTGAGAAATCAAATCTTTGTGAGGTTTTCTTGAATATGTGTTTTAGTCAACACAACTAGCATCAGATTTACCATCATGTAGGCATTGATGTTCTGCCTGGTGTTTGTATTGTTTTAATTTTTTAAAGTTTTTACTGAAATGAGTGCAGACATGCTACTGAATATACCCTCTTAGGATATGAGTAGCTCAGTATGAAGAGAATTTGATCATTCTTATTTTTTCTATCCTAAATTTATATTTTGAACAAGAATTTGATAAAGGGATTACTACCTTTTTTGAAATAAAAATAAGCATCTTATAAAGATACTCTTTTTCAGTGTATAAAATGGTAAAAATTATAATAGATTAATAGTGGTTAACGTACCTTGCACTGGGATTTCTGGAATTTCTAAATGATGGATATTTTCATACATTTGTAAAATTATTTACAAATTTTAACACACGGTCTCACTAATTTTCTAAGTTTCCCAGGCTAGGCTTAAATTTTTCCTCATTCTTCCTCACCCTCCCTGAGTGCTGGGATTACAGGAGTACATTATCCTGCATTGGCAATTGATAGCAATGTTTTGTATTCATGGAATAAAATGTTCAGCTTCGGTTTTTAGACACTTTGCAGAAAGAGTCGATCTACTTAAGCTATCTGTTACCTTTCTAGCCTGCAGTTTCTTTCACAGAATAAGACTGAAAATCCCATTAACAGTGTTTTAGATTCTCTGCTTTTTAACTGTGGTCAGCATGTGCTTCACAGCATCACTCTAATTGCCTTCTGCACTGGGACTGAGGTTTGGTGTCCTTGAAGCACATTCTCTTTTTATTTGATCCCTCCTGGAATTTGATTATTGTTTGAATTCAGACCCCCAGAAAGGTGTGAAAGTTAAAGCTACTTGGGGCACGCTGTCCTCCAGAAGGCCAGGCCAGTGTAAAACATTATTTTCCCTGCAGTCCTACTTTCCAAGGGTTTGTTTTGGTTTTTGGATATTAATTTTTGTTTCCAATTTTTGCTCTGTTCATCAGTGTGTCTGTCCCTGATGTCTGTGGGTCAGTGACATCAAAGGAAACAACACATTCATTACGGGTCATATTTCATTTTACTGAGAGATGTAGCCATTTTCTTTGGTATCCTCAAACTAACCCTACAGTGTATATTCTTGTGACTAACTATTTTCAGTTGTTTAGTCTTTTAAGCAAAATATTCTCATTATGCTGCTTCTACTGAATTAAACTGTAGCAGTCATGAGCCCGTCTCTTATTTTAGGCTCCATACCTTGACCAGCCTGCAGTGTCCCCATTTTCTGAACTGCTCCATGTGGTGAGTCCACATGCGGCAGTTGAGATCTGCACCTGAGTGGAAGACATTCAGTCAAATTGGGCTCTGTAACAGGATGACCTTCTTGAACAAAGGTCCCCTGAGGGAGATAAGGGGCCACAGGCCTGAAAGGAGGAGCTCTGGCAGCAGGGCCATTCCAGGCATCTCAGGTCCAGCCTGCAAGCTGTATTGCTTTGCTGAGAAGCTCACTCATGGATTACCAGCCCTGAATCTGGGCCTTTCTTTCCATGGTTCCAGCTAGGTGTCATGGTGTTCAGCACCTCTGCCTGGTACATCTTCCCCACCTTCAGATCTCAACAGAGATCTGCACAGCTCTGGGCTTCCTCTTCCAGGCTGCCACTATATGTAGAAACTACAGGTGTGAAATCTGTGACTATGAAACTCAACCTGTATACATTTAACCTGGAAATTCAACATCTAAGGCTTCTTTATAAAGAATGAGGCTGACAACAACCATATTTTCTTCTTACCCAGCTTAGTTGTGAATAGTTAGAAACCACTGAATGTACCACAGCAGAGCTGCTGCATCAATTATAAAATTACAGCCACTGAAAATGCAGCAAGAAGGCCATGTCTCAGGCCATGTCCCCGGTGTTACCTGAGATGACAGAGAGTTTATGGCCTGGCCCTCTCCACAGCACCAAGCAGTGGAGACACAGGGGCCCATGCAGCAGGTAAGCACAGGAGATAGGGACTCATCAATGGCAGACCATGATCCTGGGGGTATGCCTATTTCTGTTTTGTCCATTTTCTTATACCATTGAGTTAATTATAGTGCTCTATTCAATATTACTTCTATTCAGTTTAGTTAACAACAAATAGTGGCTAATATCTTGAAGAGGTAAGTGAAAATGGATGATTTAATTACATTATATACAATTAAATTCACAGTACATACTTCGAATATCTATGTGTGTGTGTGTGTGTAAAGGAGTC